TTCATCTTGCCTCTGTAGAAAACAGTATATCCAATTGGCAGAATCCTGAACTTGATCCTGAATGTCTTTTAAAATGTCCAAGAACCTAGGCTATCAACAGCATTCCTTTACAATACTTCTAGTAGTACTGTCTAATTCAATGTTCTTTTTTGCAAAGTCCTCAACAATTTTACCTTATTTATAACTGCTTCTTCTATAGTGAACCCTGATAACATACTCTGTTACAATGCCTTGAAATTTTGAAATTTTATAAACTCACAAACAGGTTTGTTTGGGTTTTTTCCCTCCATGTAGAGAGGTCCAAGCATGTAGTATTTTGTAGGAAAGTATTTTAGGTTCTTTTACTGGCCATAGTGTTGAAATTCCAGAGAGAAACTAACCCAGAATTTCAGCTTCCCTTGATTACCTATGTTAATCTATACTTAAAACAAGAGGACTATATCATAACACTTTTACAAATTTTTATAACACATAATTAAAAGGAATTCTAAGTAAATTAATTTTTTACTGAGAGGTTAATGGATTTTTATTTCAATACATGATATGCAAATATTTTGGATTTGAAATTATTCTCCTAAAGAGCTGTAGCTTTTTTCAGGTTAACTAAATGAAGCTAGCAGAGGATGGAGATGACATCAGTTTCTGTTGTGTGTCTTTGTCCTCCTAGTTCTTAAACTGCTACATTTTGGGAGAAGCATAAATTGTCTTGTTAGACAAAATGTCTCTCTACTTTTCAAAGACTATACAAGACACTTCATGCAAAGACTCCAGGAGCTTAGTAGAGTTGCAAGTCAGCTTTACGAAGACTAGCTGCTCCTACAACGCATGTTCCAGAAAAATAATGGAAACAGAAATGCTGAAAGCTCCACGAGTAACTCACCAGAGGATATGAAAAATAAAATAACTAAATAAAAAAACCCCAAAGCCTACTGTCATAGATCCAATGGAGAAGCAACAGCCATATGACTAAACTGAAACATACTCAGAACTGTCAGGTACTCTCAGGAAAGTATACTGAGGTTGAAAGCTCACCTCTTGTAACAAGCCAAAATTTTCCAAGAGTGCAGAGATTCATAGTGCAGGGAATTATCATCTGAAAGCACCCTGTACCAGGCCAGTACTAGACTGGAAAACCTAGATTTTTAGTATACAAAACATTAAAATGGCAGAACTATATATTTTTCCTCCTTTCCCTTCTACAACACTGAACCAAAACCATGATTCATAAATACCTTTCCTTAAATGACTTTGATGAAAGTCCCTCACTCCCTCTGAATTCATAGGCTTTTCCTTTGAGACATGAAGGAACAACTAGGAGGAGAGCGGGAAATTCTACATTTAAGATGAGCATTTTAATCGCATTTTTAATAAAGAAGTTTTCTGCATAAGCTCAAAACTCCTGCCAGCATTGAAATAAATATAAAAGTACTTCAAATCAGGCATAAAATTTTAGCTTTCTCCTGCAATCTTTTACAGCAAAGGAACAACTAAGAAACCAAGTTTAAGTATTGCCTGTGCAGTAATCCTTAACTGATGGATCAAAGCAGTTGAAATCAGTCACAGACAAGCAGTTCAGTGCTTGTTGATATCAGGGTAGCAAGGTTGTTAATGGAAAAAGCCTAGTAATTGTTAGTAGCTAATTAGCTACCACAATATATAATTAAATATTAAAATCATAATCCAAATAATAGTAAAGGGTAAAAGGTTCCAAGCAGAAACACCAGTTTTCTTTTCCTCTTGTTGCAATGGAAAGGTAGCAGAGGCAGCAGAAGATTTCACTTTGGTATCAGGGAACCCGGATGACACAGTGCTTCCTGCCTCCCACTGGCAGCTCCACCAAACATGACTGGGGAGAACACCATTGAGGGTCTTGCTTGGATTCCCACTTCTGAAGAGGTCAATCCTACAAAATTCCCTTGGTTGTACACCACTGCTGAGCCTTTACCACCTCATGGTGGCATTCAAAGCTCGGACTGAATGATCTTGAAGGTGTCTTCCAACTTTAACAATTCTATGATTCTTTTCTTTTTTTATTTTTTCAAAGGAAGAAAAGAGACCCTGAAAAGCCAGAAAAAAGACAGCCCACCCCAAACTATTCTAAAAAGTGAAAGGATACTTCACTGCATGGTACTCACTAGAAAGTCACTTGGATAAAATAGACCGGATATTATTATCAAATAAAATTTCCACATCTGCCAAAACGAAATTAAGTTTTAAGATCCATATGCTCATTTGAAATAACTGACTTCTGCACAAGTTCCTTCCTCTCTGTATAGCACTAACATTAGGTAATTATTGGAATCAAGAGCATGCTATTGACAGGTGCCAGGCATCTTTACCATGCTGAGGCCATTTTAAAGGAAGTGTATGCAAAATTGAGAACATGAGCAGAACTTAACAACCACAATATTAAAAAATTAAATTAATAATTAAATAAAAATGTATACATTAACAACAGTGGTAGAAATAAACACTAAAGTGGGAACTGAGTCCATCAATAACTGCCCTTAAGCTTAATTTCCAATGAGTTGCCACTGAGTTTGCCATTCATTTAAAGAGCTTTACAACCATCTCACCAGATTGTTAGGAGTCAAGCAAGAAGATCATTATTCATGATGTTTGACTGCAGGGCTTAAATTTTCTGATCATACCTTACATAGTGTTAATTAGTTTGAAAGCCATAAATAGTTAGGCTTTAAAACTACTTACTTGGCTCTACATAAGGCATAATACAATTTTTTCTTCAAAACCGGAGGAAATCTCCTTTTATCGTCAAGTCTTGACCAGGACATCTCAAAATACTATATAGTCTAGGATACCAGAAAATCAGACTAATCTGAGTTATAGAACCAAACGAGTTCACAAGCATACAGCATAACATATCATTTGTTTTCCACTCAATGATAGAATCTGCATGTAAAACTTTTTATGTTATTTTCAGGCTTGTACGACAAAAAAATTAATTCTTGCAGTATCCAAATCTTTATATCCTGATATTCATGGTATCTCCACAGAAGATGATTTTGCTTTCCTCTCTTTCAGAACACTTCATTCAAGTATACTTCATACTTTTTTGCCTGAAAAAATTGTGAGTGGGTGGGGAAGGATGGGAAGATGAAAAAAACTGAACTACATTACTGAATATCTTATAAAGGTATTTCGTAGAAAAATGTATCTCTATGAAAATGGGTCACTGGATCATGTAAACATTTGTAAATTGAGAGAAATTTCAATTATACTAGACAACATACTGAAATGTGTTTTGCCTAAAATTTTCTAGGACAAAGCTTCAACTGTTATAGATACAAAATCTTCTGAGACAAGGACAGAGAGGATGATCATTTACTGATTGAAGAAACACTGAAAAACGGACTTTAGTGAGTAGTCCTGTACATCATAGAATGGGGAGAAGGACTAGATGTAGTCATTACTTTTTTGCTTAATATACACTGATCCTATATAGTCCTTTATTAATAATACTAAATACCAGATGCACAATTCCTGATCTCCCACATTCTCTAATTGTTTCAAAGCAATACTTCATACACATTTAGGTATTCAAAGTCAGTATGAAGAATTTGGTTTTAAATTTAAGCGCATTCAATTTTTGGAGCACATATACAATCTTCACCATTATATCCAGAATTAAGTATGCCAAAGAAAAGCATACCCTTAATTGGAGGAAAAGACAGTCACTTCAGTCTACTTCCTGCCACACAGACAAAAAAAGAAGAAAGCTGTGTATGCATATATATATATATACAGGCACCTGTTTGTATACACATAAATGCGTGTTCACATACACAAAGATCCTCTGTGCGATGAAAAGACACCAATAACTGTTCTATAATCAGTAATTAATTGCACCATGATGTCTCCTCTCTCATGTTTATTCCCCACTGAAACCTGTAATCACATCCTTGTCAAAAAATGCATTCAATAGCCTGGATTGCTGCAAGTACATCCAGTGATATGTTCTCATTTTTCAGCTCCTAATCTAGAGCCAACCTTCCTTCAAAGCTATTTAAAATTAACACAGCTCCTGAAGTACCTGCAGCACAATTGCCAAGTCCTTTCTCTAATAATTATTTACTTCCTAACTTGGTGCTTACAGCTAAAAAAAGTTTTGCCTTAGATCCTAAAACAATGAAAACACCTCTCCAAAGGTCTACCTAGGAAACAGATTTTAACTTTAATTTTCTAGTGTTTTAATTTCTCAGTCTCTCTCTTACACAAAGCTACAAGCAAACTAAAAATGATCCAGATTTTTGTGAAATGTAGGGAGCATGTTTTAAACACAGATCAGTTGCAATGTTGACACTAACTCACTGAGAAGTCAGGACTATAAATTGTATTTATAAACCTTCAGAAGAGTATGACAATGACTATGTCATTATGAAAACCAAAGTAATTCACATATTAACATGTACATCTTCAGGAAGAAGGCAAAAAGCAGGATACAGCATTGTGTTCAACAGAACACTTCACATGCTCCTGTCCCAACAAGGTATGCTGAGAATCAGAGGTGCCTTCAAAAGCAACACACATTCCAGTCTCCCAACACAGCACACACTGGCAAGTACAAGGAAACAAGAAGCAGCACACCTTCAATATAAGTCAGTCAGCAATCCACAGACACCAACACCTGCACCTAAGGGCCCACATGTCTAATTCCTTAAGTTAGTTCAGAGGGTGGGTGGGTAGGTAGGAAACAAAGTCCTATCACAAATTAAATACAACCATCTTTTTGCAGGTTTTCTCTTTCCTTCCTGGAAGTGCTTGAAAACACATGTTCCAATCCTTAGTGGGTGGCAAAACCCCTGTCTTTCCAAAGGTTTTATAAAGTTTAATTTCTTAAGTATCTCCGTGACAATAAATAATAAGCATCTACATGAAGGTATTTATTAAAAATACCACTAGTCAATGTTCACTCCATGTACTCCCCTGCCCCCATTTCAGCCAAACAAGCTCTTCTTCCTCCAAAACACAGTGGCATTTACCTCACTGACCTTGGGACTGCCTTCCTCCAGTATTTCTCCCTCATCAGTCTGCATGGGAACAGGATCTGTGCAAAGCTCTGCAGAAATGCAAAATACTGCCTAAAAGATAAACAACAAAGATATATTTTAAAAACAATTCTTTTTCTTTAACAATGTTATGTGAGACTGCAGTACACATAAACAACAATTCTAGGCTATGACCTTTAATGATGCCATTCTGCACATATTTGCTGAAATAATGTTTTACACAAACAAGAACTGTTATTCAGGATAAGACAAAACTACCTAATTAAAAGAAAAAAATCCACTTAACAGGAATATACTTTCTTTTTAACTTTAAAGTGGCATTGCTGAGTATTTAATGTAGTCACTGATTTTACTCATTAAAGTCACAGACAGCAAAGAACAATCACACAGACCAGAGCTGAGCAATTCTTCCTTACTAGGAAATAGCTTTTGTGCAAATATAAGCCTTAAAGGCACAGCTTAAAGCCAAACTAAAGGTTATTAGTTTGAAAAATTGTTAAGACTTCCAGTGATCTCACAGTACCTCTGAAGTCTTACTCTCGGGATTTTTTTCTTTACTTCATTTTAATAATAAATACATTCTAGAATTAAAATGGTTCAGGGAACAGATAAAGTCATTCACATTCAGGTTGGCATTTCCAATTTAACCCAGGTCAAATGATCCCAGTGTTTCCAATATTCAACACTAGTAAGTAATCTATTTTCAAGTTTGTTTGACAGTATCTGTGCATTTCCAACTGAACAAAATCCAAAATCTGCACCCCAAACTCCAATCTTCAAATTGTAATGTAAGTTATGGAAGGATGCAATACAATTAGGGAGATTTTGGTGTGTAAGATTATAATGTCTACTACTCCAGAGGATGAGGCATCTTTCAGAGGTAATGGATCAAATTAATCAATTTAAGAGTTCAAATGCACTAGTACAAATTCAGCAGGCATCTCGCACACTTAAAATGCAAGACATAAGCCATGGCCAGATCTCTAACATTCCAGGTATATGGAGAGTAAGGGCTCACACTGAATACACTGAGTTAAGAATTCTCTTAAAGCCAAGAGCTGTTAGCATTTAACAGTTGTCCTTCTCAAGATTATGTAACTCTTCAGCTGCAACAGCATTTAACATCCATTTCAAGTCTCTCTACTTCTGCACCTCGGCTACAGAACTGCTGACTGTCACATTCACAGCAGCAATTCCAAGCCTGGAAACTGACAACAGAAAGCTCCTAAATGATGCACCTCCTTCACTTCCTTGCTAATGCCTGTTCAGAGTGTAAGGTGTCTGCACTCCAACCTCCTTTGTTATGTTGTACATAGGTAAAACAACATCTGTCATGGCTGACTCAAGGAGTGAAGAACACGTTCTACTAACATTAAAGGCCTGAAGCTACAAAAGGTTACATACAACTTAATAACTCTTACAACCAACAAGCTGTTACATTCAGTAATATCATACACTCTAGTGCAAGGCACAACAGTTGTAAAGACTTAGAGCATAGTAATTTCCTTTTTTGGGAAAAGAAGAAATGAGGAGAAAAGCAAACTCTTACCCAAATCCTCACTTAAACATTCTGCCTTCAGCACATAACCAAAAATCAGAGGTATCAAATGCTAAGAATGACATCTATGCCAAGATTCTCTTGCCTATAACAAATATTTCTAGCTTTTTGTTCTGCACCCACAGTGGAGGAGGCCAGGCTGGGTAGTCCCTGTCCATGGTACTTCTTTGCCATGCTCATTTTCTGAAACCCACTCCAAAACTTCCAGAGCTAGGAGTTTTGGAACATGATTTTGCAGTATCAGAGTCAAGTCATCGGGAAGCTCCTGAGATTTTTGTTAGACAGACAGTCTCATGTCTAACAGCCAAAACAGCTTTGGCCAGAAGGATTCCTGTGGCACTTACCTGGCCTTGAAGTCAGAGAAATAAGCAAGAATGAACTTGAACTACAGAAGCATTTAAAAAAGTTTACATATAAAACAAGACCAGAAAGGTCAGACCAAGAGCACTGCAAGGGGAAATCACTTTTCATTCAGAGTGCTGGAAGAACTCAAACATAAGCCTTTGAAAAACTGATGTGTTTTATCTTCTGAGATCCCTCACTACCAGAGGAATTGGCAGTATTTGATTCCAGCTTTTATACACTACTCCTGGAAGACAAAAAAACCCTACCAACCAGTGCATCAAAGGAGAAAAGGTCAGTAGAACTAGGAAAGTTTAAAAAATGGAAAGGCTACAAGAACAAAGAAAAGCGAGCTCTTCCACAGGCAACAGCTTAAATGCACTGGAACTATCCAGAACACAGAGATTAGTGTAGGAAATTGAATAAATAAACTGTTTTCCTTCTTCATTGTGTTTTCTTTTTTCTAGAATTTCTATTTTCTCTCTTAATTTATCCATAATTAATGTTTTATTTGCTTTAACATTTTAAAAAGACGTCATATGTCATACAAACGGTGAACTCACTCACATGGGATGGTAAAAAGGTAGAAGTTCTGAAAGGCTCAGTAATTTACTAGTAAACTTCACAAGGGAAAAAGAAAATCCACCAACAAAAACTTTTAAGTGGTGCTGGAAGATCCTAAGCCATAGACTACAAAAGGTGTTGCAAGAGAATATTTTGCTGAACACTGTCCTTTTGTTGTTTGGTTTGGGTTTCTTTTATACTTTATTGCATTTGCTTCTGGGTTCTTTCAGGATGCCAAACATCTTGCAATAAACTATGAGCCCAATTCAATAATTTTTATGTTATTTTGCCTACATGAATCATTGATTCCCTTAGCCACTGGCACAAGAATGCTGCAATGCAAGTTCGTTTATTGCCAAAAAGAGACATTTCAAGATTTCTGAATCCATGGGACACTACCTCTCTGGCAGGCTTTTGTAGTAGTCACAACTGAGGGTGACTTCTTATTGCCAGCACATGAAGAAATAACATAATTACTGCATGTTACAGACATCACTTGTTCAGCTCACCAGCTTCTGACCAGAATCCTAAAGGTCATTTATTTTATATACGGAGGATAGAAGAAAAGTAAGAATTTGTACTAGCATTTTATAGGATCAGGCAAATGCCAAAAGCCTAAAGGCATTTGTTTAATTATCTTCAATAATTAATGTGATATGTCAAGTTCCCAGGTGATAAAAAGGAAGTTTATGGACAGTCTATTTAGATTTTCAGATCCTACCCCTATCAAGAAAGTCACTCCTGGAAAAGATCAAAAGTAAGATAATCCTCTTCCACCCTTGAACATATCCACCCAAACTACTTGAAATGTGACTGAAATCCCTCAATTTTTTATTCACCTGATATCCTTCAGAAAAAACTGGAGTAAGGTAACACCAAGGAAGGCCTGACATATAGCAATGCCCTGGTATGCCCGCATATGATGCAGCAAATGCACATCTAAACTTAGGAACAACTTTTATTTAACTTTTTAAAATGTAATACAGTGATGAGAATCTGTTCTTAAAGGTAAAAGCATCCATTAATATGAACCAGCTGGATTTCTTACCAACTTTAATGCCTACTACAATACTGTCCTGCCATTAAACAGTACGGTTTTGGGACAATTCAGTTTGATATTTAGTCCTATTTTTGCTCCATCTCTTTCTGCAGCAAAGATGTACTAATTTTGTTTACTGGGATCAACATGACAGATGCAGCTACCAGCCACTCAGTGTAAGCAGAACAGTGCAGTGTCTTTATGGATACCATCTCCGCACTACTGCATTCTAACACACTCTGCAAGCAAAACCTGAAAAAAATTTTGAACAAAATTTCCATATACTTATAAATCCCTGAAAAGCAATACCAGTGAACAAGGTACTTCCTTCTAGGCCTAATTTTCCCTCCACATAGGTAGGTCCAGCATGGAAAAATACACGGTCCTCAATAGCAAGAGAGAGCTGGAATTCCAATGGTTTCAAAGTTGGTTTCATCAAACAGGCATCACTGGGACTAAGCAACCTGTCTAATTCAAGGGTCTTTTTTGCAGCAAAATTTTTTTTTTTTTTAGATTGGCATAAAAAATCAAATATAGACTAAAGAGAAAATCTTTTCTTCATCTGATAATGAAGGAAAAAACTACTTCAAGCTTCTAAAGAGTGCAGCTGCAAGAGAGGCACTTATTAATGTACAACCAATCGCGATTCCTGTGAATTCCCAAGTCTAAATTGGATATGGCCCACTAGAAACCCCCTGAAGGACAGAAAGGCTGCAACAAATGTAACCATTACAGACATAAAGCAAAAATTGAAGGTAGGTCCCAAACTCTCTCACAAAGCAAAACAGGCCCACAAGTGCTCTTCCAAGGCAGTGATCTCGTATACATGGCATACTTGAAACAAGAGCAGTTAGAACAAGGCACTACTTGACCAAACAGTGTCTTGAATAAGACTGTGCTTATTTGACACAATCATATTGACACACCATCACTGTCACCAGCCTCTAGGTACAGACAAAATATTAATTTTTAACACACAATCCAGCTATATTGTATTTAATTGCTAAAGCATTGTATTACATACAAACCCACAGGAAATAACACATTAGAAAGCACATTAACACAGATCTACATCCTACAGTATCTTAAGAACCAGCATAGGCTATTGTTCTTCTCACGGCCAACTTTCAAGATCACAATACTGAGCTTTGGTTGATTTTTACCTGTGACAGTTTCCAAGGGCTGCCAAAGCCCACAAGGATCCGTACTGGCTACATTCAGTGCAAAAACAAAACCCTAAAAGGAGACAAAAAAAAAAATTAAAACATCAACCAACCGTGGTCATTAGTAAATTAAAAACAAATATAAAAACAAAGGACATCTGCCTCCAAAGCTCAGGAAACCTAGGTGCACAGAAGTTAAAGGAATAGGCCGCCACCAAGAAAATATTTTCTTAAAATTCTCCCCACAACCTCCCATCCAAATCTGGAAAAACAGTAAACACTGGTAGCATGTGTGAGAGAATCTCCTAGTGACTATGAGATACAACAGAACAGCAGGAGGCTCTAGAAACATAATTTCTATTCACAACTGGGAAAAACACGGGGTGAAACTGTACAGGAACTTGTACAGCAACTGAGAGAACACACACAAGCGTGTTTCCTTGCAGACAAGGGAAGAGATTATGTAATCCTACAAAAACTCCTAAATAGTAAATGTTATGTGTAAAAATGAATCCCAACCTACCAATTGTCAGGTATTTAATCCTATTATGAAAGAGTAACATAACAGCACTGCAATGGCTTACAATAATTTCCATTTCAAATCATACATAATCTGTCTAAACCATAGCTAGTACTAAATACTTCAGTTTTGGTTTTGCAAAACATAACCAACTTCCAGGAATCAAAAGAAGTCCAGAACCATCAGCTTACCACTATACATCCAAGTTAACATCACTAAAATCTAAATTATTCCAGTTGCCATTATTCCGGTTTATTGTAAGGGATATGAACTAGTGACACTTTTCTAAATTCTCTGCATCATTTTGTTGGCTACTACTCCTTAATGTACAGCATTATTTAGGAACAAAGCGTTCCTGTCATTGGACTAACTGCCATAAACAATGTATTTTTTTCCCTCGTCTTCTAGCATTAACTAAGAGCTGTCTGGGCATGATTTCCATTCAAACAATTTCTGACTAGAAAATACATTTGGTGATAAAAGGGAGTCTTACTTGCCACTGTGGTTTACCTTTCCCTTTGCTTAGTGAGTAAATGCTTTACAGATGCAAAGATGCTTACAGATCTTAGCTTTACAGATGCAAACTTAAATTTTGAACTTGGTTCTGATTTATGCTGTGGGGTGATTCTGATAAAGCAACCACGAGCACACTCTGCTCAAAAGGTCTCAAGCTGTCTCAAAACATCATCTTAAAAAAAATCAGCTGCTGACATAAATAAACAAAACATCACATACTCAATTAGGATATGGGAAGTTGGCTTTAAGTCATTCACAACTTCAAAACAACACAGAAATAGTTAATGGTTCTTCATCTACAGCACAGCAGCAGCGTAAGTCATGATTTACTATAAAAATTACCCAGGATAACCCACGTCTCACTGTGATGATAACTGTCCACTTCACTTTTCAAGGTTGAAGATGGAAACATAACTTGTAACAAAATAATTTGGTACTACTGGTATTTGAGAAGAGGATTTGCAACCTCTTTATTTCACATGGTTTAAAACAATCTCTTTGCATTACTTAGGTGGAAGGAAATCCAGGAAGGATTAGTACTTCAAGGAAAAACGAACTAAAGATATCACTTTAAACAAAGCAGTAGGGAGGAATGGGAAAAGGCAGAAATCCTCAATCTCTCATGGAAAAAAATCCAGAGGAATATTCAGGAAGGGCAGTCACACATCCCACAAAATCACTGTGATGTTCTGAAGCAAAACATGACATGAGAAAAGGTGTCCATTATGCTTAATTTAGCATTGGCTGCACAACTTCATATTTTGTTCTGTATTTAATTCTTTGCACTGATGTTTTTGGTAACATACGGTAAATGTTTCAGCTGTTCATGTACAATGATACAAATACTTTTAACAAGATAAACAGCAGTAACTTGGAATAGATATCATATACATTACTCTGTACTGCTCTTCTAAAGTAACATGAGAACAGAAGGACCAAAAAGAAGTTAAAGACAACCTATGAACAAAACATAAGTCTCACTTCACAGCACTTAAGTCTTTTTACATGAACAACTCAAATACAAAACATTTCATAAAACAGAGTGCTTCTGAAGATGTCGGGGGGGACATCTAAAAAAAACACAGACAACTACACAACATGATCTGCTCAAGAAAATCCAATCATTAATGAATTTGTGGTTTTTCTCATTAAAGAATGTCACCCTTTTTGATTCATCCTTAACAGAGACATGCGAAAGTGCAAAGGTATACTTCTCAAATGGTCCTAAATCAGACTCAATTTAGAAAATCCTGGCTCTAGCCTTTGAGTCTAAAGACAGTCTTGAAACATAAAGACAATACATAATCATTACCTTCCCAGTGTGCAAAACCATTGATGTAAACAATATTTAAGGCGCTAAATGTTTCTCCTCCCAGTAAAGGAAAAGTCCACGGAAAAGCTTATTTAAAAAAATGTTTTGTTTACACATTTTGCCACTTTCTACTGTACAAAGCAGCACAAACCCCACTTCTTTTCTGCTCATACCGATTAGGCTAAATAATCCATTAAAGGTTACAGTGAACATAAAAGGTATTTGTCCTCACTTTGCTACAGCAACCTATGGTGCGCTACATAACACTACACATCACTTCTCAATTGTAATCAAGACAACATCCCAACTATAATCAGCAAAAGGCTGTCAAGTGGTTAAGTTTTCCAAAGTCCTTTGTGCTTTGTTCCACCCTGTATTTTCACTGTGACTGAAGCATATATACACACTTACATATACACAGATATGTGTGTAGATACAATATACGTGTATGTAACAAAACAACCTCATTATTATTTCTACTTTTTCTCTTCAAGACCTTCAACACTCTACACCACAACGTTCATGGAAACTACCAAACTGAGGTTGTTTGGAGTAGTTTATCTTAACTGTCTGACAGCATCTTCTGGACAACCAGCATCACAGTTAAGAGTTGTTATAAATGAAAATTTGTCCAGCCAAATTAAAATGAAAAATAAAATATTTGTTTTGCCAGCCACAAGGAAAAAACAGAGTCGAGCCCGGGGTCGGCACTGGGTGTGTCACAAAGTAGTCAGCTTCAGCAGAGGGTCCCTCTATGCCCACACACCACCTTTTTGGAACAGACGGCTTTTATAGGGAAAATTCCACCCGAGGCCAGGGTTTCCGCAATCAGTCCTTTTCTTCCCATTCAGAGTCACAAACGTTGAAGAAATTTCTTTTATTGGCACTGGGGTGGAGCAATCTAGTGTCGGGTGTTGATGAATCTCCTGATGTAGTTACGGGGATCAGGCATTCATATGCATCGGCCCGGAGGATTTTCATGGTATCAGTCTCGGGTCGTTGACGCGACGATCAGCGCCCGGGCTCCCCGTGTGGCTTCGAGATACAGCCCATCTCCGGACAAGCCACAGACATTTGCTTGCAAATGAGGTTTCAACGTAGACTGAGTTTTACCTATGTGGGGGCAGCTTCTAATGCAGACGTGTGTTTCCCAAAAAAATACTAAATATTACCTATACCATATTACAATAGGCGCGAATTACATTCACTACACATAAGAAAGTTATGGTGGTACCTAGAGCAGCAAGGAATTAAAACATCGTGAGTTGAGAATACCAGCTGCTTTTTACACTCCACATCAAAGTTTAACTCACTCAAGAGATTTTTTTGCAAAGTTGGAAACAAACTATCACTTAAAAAAAAAAACAAACCAAACATTCTTTTCAATTGTTCATATCTGGTTCTATTAGGTCTTGCAAATTATGGGTTTCAGGCACAGAAAAGGACTAGTCACACTGCTAATGCTGCCATTACTTGTAACAGTAGCAATGCCGGGAATCCCAGTGGCACAAAAGCATTCATTACCATAAGTATCACAACTATCATGGCATTTAATGGTGCACCAGTGGCAAAAATGGCCCACAATCAACATGCTCAAAATGCCAGCAATCCCTGTATACCAGCATTCCCCAAGGATTCAACACTGCTGGAGCTACACCAGTGCAACCAAGCCTTTATTTCAGGGCATTTGCAAAGCGACCAAGTCTTCAGAATACAGAGGACCGGAGTTTTCTAAGGAGAGGTGAAGAGTGGATGTTATACTAGACCAGAAACATGAAGCATTTTTCTCCATCTTAAGCAAAACGTTGTGATGAGTGAGAAGCCTGCTTCTCAACAGCTCAGCTTTAAACCTGAAAGCTATAAATAACTCCTTTACTGCTGATAATCCCAACAGAATCATCCTGTCAGATTATTCATACCACTAAAATCAACTCAAGATCGAAGGTTTCCTTTCGAAACACCAGTAACACTCATCAAGTCCCATACAGCAGCATGTTTATCAAACCCAGCAGCAGTAACTAAATTAAAACTGATAAGGTGGTAAGCAGCCGTGTGCAGGGGAAGGGGGGAGCGCTGCTTATTGACAGCAGCAATTACAAGAGCTAAAGCCAACATTACTAAAAATCATTCACGTGCAGGACAGGATTGGAAGATACCGTGCCGTTCAAACTATCTAGTTCTTCCAATCTTCCTGTATGTAATTGGAAGAGTATCAAAGTTTCCTGTGTTAAACTATCCTTTTGCTTTGTTTGCTTTTACAGTAAGAGCTGTGTTGTTAAGGAATTCACACTGGCATGGCAATACTGGTGCTAAGTCCTCCAGCAGCCATGAAGGCAGACAGGCATCCCCTGCTGCCCAGAAAGGCTCCAGGTCTCGGCACTGCACCCTGTAATGCAGCCTCGGGCAGATTATGGTCAGGCTGAGCCAGGACACAGCCAGGAGGAAGGCCAGGGGAGTGTGACAGAGAATGAAGCTTAAGTCACAATCTGCTTTTTCTGATTTTTAAATTTACTTTCAGCTTACACCCTGAAATTTTCCAAAATAATGTTCCATATTTACCTCACATCTAATGATTAATAACAGAGAGGTCCTCTTATACAAGGACATTTTGACTTCTCACTAACATGATTATACATGCAGAGAAGTCCAAGATCTTAGCACTATTATTGTCAAAGAAAACAAATGCAGAGTTGTTAAGCAAATAATTCTAAACTATAATTGCAAA